TCAAAACACGTCCATCGCCACCACCAGGGGAGTGGAGCGACGGCACACACCCGTCACAGCGGCTCCCGACCCGGCCTGCGAGGAGGACCGCCCACCCCCAGTCCGCAGGACGACCTCCGGACGCGACAGTCCCTGGACCCGGCCGGGCACCACCCACAGGGCGGGGCAGTGAGCGCACTCACCTGGAGGCCTGTGACCGGGCCCACTGGCCAGCTCCCTTCGGCGCGCTGATGACGCCAAATGTCGCCTCGAGTCTTCGGCATAAGTCGCTCACTCGCACGGCGTGGTGAAACTTATACGGGTAACGACGACAATACCTAAGATATTTCGTACTCTAAACATCCAGGTTTGTCCACTAAAAATGTGGTGCACGCGACGCCAGTGGGATTGCGGATGGAAAGTAGTTTTTTTGGTGTCGAGCAGGGACGAAAATATCGACAGTCTGATTTTCATGGCCAGGGCTTCACAGCCTAACTTCGCTCGTGAACCGCAAGTGAAATTGCACCGCGTAGCAGCCCATGATACTGACAAACCCATGAATTTAAGACCAGTCGATCAGCTTGAACTGGGCTAGCCAAAAATTGAAAGCAATCCATTATAAGCAGTTGTGAAATACATCAAGGTGAAAGACAACCTATAAGTTTACCAGAAATAGAAGCGGCACCTCCAACTCCAACCTCAACAAAACTGTGACAAGCCATAGCAGAGCCAGACGACAGGGTGTGTAAGTAAGAACACGGGAAAGTGAGAGCTGGCAGATAACATAATCATTACAAGTGATGCGACCAAAACTGGTGATGACAGTCGTCTAGTGATATGAAACAATGCGACATCTTGCAGCCTCTCGAATGCGACGCCTTGTCACATCACATCTCTGGGTGGGTGTTCCTCCGGTAAGTAAATGCGATTTTTGTTCCGTAACACCAGGCAGGTCATATACAAGATTTGCCGAATGTACGGCAAGCGGCTATTCCGAAAAAGTGGTGGATAAAGTTCAAGCCCTGCCGACATAAGCAGGGAAGGTCTTACGCTCCTGTACTGCAATGACACTCTGTGAGAAACTTCCTGCGGGGTCCCAATAGCAGTCGGAGACATGGGCTCCCCGTGCTACTGACGTGTACAATGGTTCAAACCCCGCTGCCACCACATGCCAAAACCAGCCGCGAGGGGCCTGGATGGGTGAGGAAAGCTTCTCAGATGCGCGCTGTCTACATGTCCGCCATTACAACAAAAAGGAGGTGGGGGTACAGCTCACAAACCTCCAGTGTGATCGAGCTGCTCAATGTCACCGTTCCCAGCCCGATGAAGCTGTCAAGTGACTGCTAGATCAGAAGGCTGTGGACGACCAACGACAGGCCCGATGAAGCTGCCAAGTGACTGCTAGATCAGAAGGCTGTGAACGACCGATGACAGGCCCGATGAAGCTGCCAAGCGACTGCTAGATCAGAAGGCTGGGGACGATCGACGACAAGGCCGATGAGGCTGTGAGGTGGCTGCTAGATCAGAAGATTGTGGACGACCGACGACAAGCCCAATGAAGCTGTGAGGTGGCTGCTAGATCAGAAGGTTGTGACGACCGACGACAAGCCCAATGAAGCTGTGAGGTGGCTGCTAGATCAAAAGGCTGGGGACGATCGACAATCAGCATGGGCCCCTGGTAAAACATCACGGACAAAACAGCCCCTATACAGATGTGGAACGAAGAACCTGCGCTGACGGAGTTGGAATGGGAGCCTGCGCAAAAAATCGCTTCTGCCCGGGCCGGCTGCCACCGCAGGGCCGCTACTGCTGAGCAGAGCGTCTCCAACGTCTGACGGATTTTTGACACAAGGGAAAAATCGGATGCATCGGTCGGCAGCCTGTCGGAACCGGTGACCCACCAGGTGACAGGTCATCTAAAGGTCAGGTCAGGGGTCAGGCCCCTGAACCACCTGGAAGCATCTATTCCTGTGGACCCAAGAATGACCGTACGGAAACAGGTAGCTGCTGCGGTCGCATATGCGGCCAGCGATTGAGAGGACCTCCAGAACAAGATCCGCAAGTCCCTGCCTACTACTCTTCGAGACCCCTGTGCCACTCGCGTCCAGTGTGGCACCACAGTCTGGGGCATCGTCTAACGCGTGGGTCCGAAGCCGTTTGGACGACCCAATAGACGAGCCACCAGACAGGCCCTGCCATCCGCCACAGGACGTTTCAAAAGAGAGTCCATCTACCAAAGGACATTTACCAAGAGAACCCATCTGCTGGACCTGTAGTCTCCAGGCTACAGCATACCCTGTCCAGATATGGCCCTGACACACGAGATCCTAGACACCGGAGTACACCACCATCGTCATTGGATCACACGGTTTTTTCGTCTCAGTGGCTCCGTCCTACACCGCAGGAGGGTGATTTCAGCAGGCTTATAAACCCGAGGCTCTCTACAACGTCAGATGAATTGGCTCTGAGCTGAGATCGGCCGGGGGGGGGGGGGGGTGGAATGCTCCACCGGCTCGGGTGGCCCTCCCTTTCACTGCCAACCCGCTCAAAAACCGACGCGACGCGCACTGGACTGGTTCTCGACACTCTTGTCCAGAGTAGTTCGGCGACGAATGGCTTCTGACGAGCTGGATGGTACCAGGCCTTCAGGCCAAAGCGCTGTTCGAGTTCAGAATAACAAACCGTAAATGCGGTAAGGAGATTTGAGGTAATAGCTGATAAGTCCGAATAACAGAGCCATGACAGGAACCGCCATGGTGAGGTGCTTGACGCATCGCTACTTCAGTTTCAGTTGCGTGATACTGGTAATATGAAGTGTGATGGCTGCTTCCTCACAAGCCTTTCACATTGTCAGGTATAAAGGTGACTACCTTGGTCACGAATACGGCATCAGTGTTTTCGTTTTACTTATAGCAATTTCACGTTTTGAAGTTTGCCTGACATTTTAGCTTCAACTTTCGATTGCACATGACGCATGCTGAACGGAGATACACACCGCAATTTGGGTCACACATTGAAGTGAACTGTGCTAAAAGGATAATTAAGGAGACATCATGATATATGTGACCGGTCGAGCTAAGCTGAAGGGTCATTGTCCTCTCCTTTTAAGCAATGAGATGTCCGCGGTCCGAAGCATCCTGTTTAAGGCGTTGAGGGGTTGGGGGTTGAATAGACCGGAATGCGCCGTTCACGTATTCGCGTTAATTGCTGATTCGACTTGTGTTATATAATGCGCAGTGTCCGACACGTGCTCTTTAACTCGGGTGATGCAAACATAGAAGAACGCACCCCAACCACAAGCCAAATACGACGCATATTGTCAGGCATGCGAAGACAGGCAAAGCCAAGACATGTACCTACGAACCGCGGTGCTACACAGCCCGCCACGCCTCCCCCTCCCCCTCCCCCTTGCCAGAATAGTGGGACACATGAGATACGAATCGCACCAAAAGAGCGCTGTGCACCCGATTCAAAGCGTTTGTCACTCTCGGTGCTGCGGCACGAGACAATCGCTCGTGTAGGCCGATCAACCATCCACACGACAAAGTCGGCTGGGACTCCTCGTGGGTGGGCTTTCCACCACGTTCTGATGTACCAAGCGGGCTTCACGGGCTAAAATCGACTAGTGTTAGGAAATGGTGTAAAGGAAACGCGTATCCTTGTGCATTAAATGAAAAACCTTGTAACCAGCAAGAAAACGGGTGAAGGCCAAATATCTGCCTACATAGACACACGCTCAACTGTTCAGTACAGCCTGGCTCTGTGGCGCCCGCGCTCGTGGCCTCCCCAGCCTGAGGCTGTCAGTGAGATACTGTCCTGCGCTGCGGACTGGCTCGGTTCCCCACGCTATACCCAAAGCCCCCGGGACAGGAGAGAACGCCCGACATAACGCCGACTCCGGGAACAGCGTTGAGGAAGAGAGACCGGCGGAGGACAGGGGTTGATGGAGGGAGGGAGGGAGGGAGAGGGAGAGGGAGAGGGAGAGGGAGAGGGAGAGGGAGAGGGAGGGAGGGAGGGAGGGAGAGGGAGAGAAAGGGAGAGGGAGAGGGAGAGGGAGAGGGAGAGGGAGAGGGAGAGGGAGAGGGAGGCAGAGGGAGAGGGAGAGGGAGAGGAGGGAGGGAAGGTAGAGAGAGAGGGAAAGAGAGAGGGAGAGGGGAGGGAGAGGGAGAAGGAGAGGGAGAGGAGAGAGAGAGAGAGGGGAGAGAGAGAGAGGGGGAGGAGGAGAGCAAGAGGAGGACAGTCAGCCCGAACCGCAGCGACGATCTGGGTCTGCCGCCTGATCCCATTTCAGTCGACTCTCGACTCCGGTGATCGCGGACCGGGACGACGACGCCGCTCATACGCGCACGCTCGTGACCTCCGGCGCACGGCCGCACGGGCACACACACGGCATGGCGCTGCCGGCCAGCGGAGCCGCCGCCGCCGCACCGCTGTGTGGGCGGGGCGGGGAGGGGTGACGAGGAGCTCCCCTCAGCCCCGCCCCGCCCGTCCAGTCGGCGGCGGCTTGCGCGGTGGCGGCGGTCGGGGGAGCGTGCAGGTCGACCCCCCCCCCCCCCCCCTCCGCCCAGTCCACTCCGAACGGCACGGCGCACAGCCGGCGGGCGGGCTGGCAAAGTGCGGATGGGCGGCCGGGTGGAAAGCAAGACGGCGCAACGGCCAGGGGTCGGACCAGGCGGCGGCCATATCATCACACCGCTGGTACGCTACAGTCAGGGGTCGGATCAGGCGGCGGCCATATCATCACACCGCTGGTGTGCTACAGCCAGGGGTCGGACCAGGCGGCGGCCACATCGTCACACCGCTGGTGCGCTTCATCAAAAGGTCAGTCGCATCGCTTTTGGCGGGGCGGAAGGCAAAACTGCCAATCAGCTGTGAGTATTTCAGAGCCGTCGATTTCTTCCCACGTTTACTAGCGTTTTAGCAATAGCAGCGTTCCCGTACTGTTACCGCTGTTTCATTGCGAGCCGGTTGCCGGGGACCGACCTGCACCCTCCCTCGACCCCACACGGACATGGACTGACCTTGTGAGGCTCTGTCACCGCCGGCGCCGGCCGACGACGGGCCGGCTTCTCCTGCAAACACAGGCGGCTGCTGTCAGGCCGGGTCTGGCCGGCGCCTGCGCAGGTCACGTCTTGGTAAGGACAGGTCAAGGCAAGTCACAGACAGACTGCTCTGTGCGTAGCCCGGTTTAGTCCAGTTGGATCCCAGCCAGCTAATTAGCTAGCATCAAGTTCCAGCGTTTCTCTGGACCCAATTTTACTTCACCCCCGCTGGCGTAATAAAAACATTCCATGTTGGCCATGTTATGCTTTATCAATTGATTGATTATTGGAGCATTTGAGGACGTCGACTCTTCAGCTGGCTTTTAACATGCCGCTGAAACAACACACAGAGCTATCAGACACTGGACAGCCAAACTTCCTGAAACCTCTCATCCCAAACCCTTGTTTACTGAGCTTCCGCAATCGCAGCCTGCCTCCTTCTCACCTAGCGAGTCGTCCAGCAGCGACACCTGGGCGGGATCAAAGCCTTGTCCCGCCCCACCGGCGTGACCCTCGAAGCTGGCCACGTGCCCCAGCGCGGCCTCCAGTTCTCCATCCTCCTCGCTCAAATCCACCTGCTCCACCTTGATCACGCTCGGCGAGCCGCCGGCAGCGCCTATGGCGGTGGGTGCCGAAGCTGCACTTGGCCGGGCAGCAGCAGGCGGCGCCAGCGTCGCTGACGGCGAGGCCGGCCGGCGCCGCTTGGCGGGCGGCGCGGACGGGGGGCTCGGCGGGCGGTCGCGACCGGGGCGGCGCCCGGGCGGCTGGAGTGACGGGCGCCGGCGCCTCGTGGGGGCGCTCGTCCGCGGCCGGGTCCTGCTGGAGAGGTGGGCAGCCGGACTCAGCGTACCGCATACCAGCTCACGGTCAGGGGGCGCCACCGTGTGCTCGGTACGAAAGGACGAATGATGAAGCAGCTGGATGCGGCCACAGCAGCTGCCGACGCACCCACAGACGCGCCCACAACGTGGCGTGGCGGCAGACGGCACAGAACGCAGGCGTTTACACAGTCGCACGTTGTACGCTGGATCTCAAACTACATATATCTCATAAACATCGGGTCAAACCCCTACGTTCTACTCGCCTGCTGCTCACCGTCTAAGCGTGTCCCGCCTGCTGCCGCTGCTGATGATCTAGATCAATGTATCCACAGATCCCCAATGACCGCGCCCTGTCTGTGCCCGTTCAGCCCGCTCAGCAACGTCCTCGGCGACGCCGTGCCGTGACTGCCCCGCCCCGTGTTCACCTGCCCGTGACTGCCCCGCCCCGTGTTCACCTGTCCGTGACTGCCCCGCCTCGTGTTCACCTGCCCGTGACTTTCCCGCCTCGCGTTCAACCTGCCCGTGACTGACCCGCCCCGTGTTCACCTGCCCGTGACTGACCCGCCTCGCGTTCACCTGCCCGTGACTGACCCGCCTCGCGGTCACCTGCCCGTGACTGACCCGTCTTGCGTTCACCTGCCCGTGACTGACCCGCCTCGCGTTCACCTGTGCTGTGACTGCCCCGCCCCGTGTTCACCTGCGCCGCGATTGGCCCGCCTCAGGCTCACCTGCGCCGTGATTGGCCCGCCTCAGGCTCACCTGCGCCGCGATTGGCCCGCCTCAGGCTCACCTGCGCCGTGACTGACCCGCCTCAGGCTCACCTGCGCCGCGTCCTCGTCGCCGCTCAGGCCGCGCACCTGCAGCATTTCGGCCGTCTTGATGAAGCTTGCCAGCTGACCCTGCGACACGTTCACCTCGCCCTTGTAGACGAACTCGATGACGGCGCGCAGATCCTCGATGCTCGTGTCTTTCAGGAAGAACACCGGGTGTTGGCACGGGTTCTCCTGCGGGAAAAGGGCAGCGTTAGCAGCCTGGACGCTTCAGGAGCGGCACAGGGGTCGCGAGGGCTGCGTTGTGCACCCAGGTGAGATTAAGTGGTAGCTAGCGTCTGTGCGTTGGATGGGCCGCGTGTGGCAGCACACGACCGTCACACAGGAGATGGAGAACTTTCGCCATGTCAGCTTTTGGTTGCAAATGGCTGCAGGAAGGTGGTGATAAAAAAACAGATCCATAGCATGCTTTGCCAATGAACCTATAGCAGCACGGTTCTGTGAGGGAGAGGGGTCTGCGTCTCCCGAGTGACCGAGGGGTTTGCGTCTCCCGAGTGACCGAGTGGTTTGTGTCTCCCGGCTCCCACGTGGGAGCCCTGGATTAGTATCCCGGTTGCGCAATGGCCTCGTGCACTGATACTGATATTGTAGTCGCTGGTGCTCCATAAAAGGATCGTGAAGACGTGCGTCGTGTTGCGTTTAAAAAAAAGTAGCGGAACTCTTCTATATCTGGAAACAATGTGCGGGGGAGAAATCAGCACCACTCGCTAAGCCGTCGTTCCTGCAGGTCCATGAAAACCTAGGTCGATAAAAAAGACGTAAGAGCTTTGGGCTTTGACAGAAAAAAATGACCGGGTTGCGTTCTCACAGCGGCGACTTCAGAGCAGTCAGCAGGACTTCACGCCAGTGAACCGCTGATGAAGGGAGGAGCGAACTGATGCTCTGGGAGGGGAGGGCAGCCCAATGACCTGGAGACCCCATCCAATGAGAGGACGGAACTGTCACGGCCGCCAGGTGACCGCGTAAGATCCCACGTGTCCGGCGCCCTGACCTGACCCGCCGTCGGCTGCCGAGGCCGCCTGCCTCCAGCCCGGCACCTCACCTTGAGCAGCTCGCGGAAGTAGGGGCTGCACGCGGAGAGCATCATGCGGTGCGCCTTGACCTTGTGGCCGTCGCAGCAGAGCGTGATGTCCACCAGCTCCTCATCCTGCCGCAGGTGGTCGAACACGGACGTGACGCTCGTGCGGAAGCTGTCCCACTTGAGGCAGAACTTCTGGCCGTTCATCATCTGTGGGGGACGGGCACGCTGTCAGCCGGCGTGACCTAAGCGTGACCTTGCAGACCTTTTCCTTCCGAGGAATCCTTTCAGCACCTTTCAAATCTGGGGCCAATCAGAGGCTGTTGTCACACCTCTGCATCACCGAGTGAGATTAACGGGATCGTTAGGAAGTAGTAATATAAAATAACACGTGGCGGCCTGTTTGGAGGACCAACAGCAAGCCTAGCACCAACGACATGATGCCATAAACCTGGATACCATGACATTGGCCTATAATTAACAATGTAATCGCCAATTACATCGCCAGTAAGTCACCACGTTACATACTGCCTGGTGACTGACTAAGCGCCAGAAGGCACTGATAGGCTAGGCACAGTTCTGGAATCGCCAGCACTGGTTCAGCAGCAGCTGCCAGACCAATTCTGTACGTCTGATTTTGTCAAATCGCCTGTCTTAATTAGCAGTTAACATCACATTCCACCCCTGTAATTGCATTGCATTTCAGACCATTTGTCTCCAATTCCCGCGTGCATGACCTGTTTAAAATATTCCGCTAACGATAACAAACACTGAAGAGCACAACTAACTACACCTGCACAGCACGTAAGCCGCGTCTTTATTGCATCTGTCACATATCGGCGAATTCAGCGCGGATGTGGTGACAGCTCATCGTCTGTTAGACACGCAGGCTCAAGAGGCGGCGTCAGCGGTCGCCGAAGGAGCGTCGAGGCCCGGACTCCAGTAACTCACGGCCGGCCGCTACACTCCACAGGCGCCAGAGGCGGCGTCAGCGGTCACCGGAGGAGCGTCGAGGCCCAGACTCCAGTAACTCACGGCCGGCCGCTACACTCCACAGGCGCCAGAGGCGGCGTCAGCGGTCGCCGAAGGAGCGTCGAGGCCCGGACTCCAGTAACTCACGGCCGGCCGCTACACTCCACAGGCGCCAGAGGCGGCGTCAGCGGTCACCGGAGGAGCATCGAGGCCCGGACTCCAGACTGAACAGGCGGCGACGGTCGCACGTGAGCTACACGCCAGTCACTGTTGGGCCGCTCGGTACGTGTGCGGCTGCAGCGGCTGCGGCTCCGACTGCGGCTGTATCCGACAGCTTCGTAGTGATAGTACTAGTACCGCTAGTACTCGCACTAGTTAGTCCCATGCCAGTTCCGCTGGCGCTGGACTGGCAACCGATACGATGAATCGCATTAAGAGCACAGGAATCAACAAACACCACTGAAGCTGAACTAAAACTGTTCTCTGCGGAGCAGACAGCAAACACACGATTGCACATGAATTGCCCGACGCAGATGTCGGTTTGTGCCGTGGTTGTTGCTTTTTTGCAGCAGCAGCAGCAGGTTGCCTTCATTCCCGTGGAGCCAGTGGCTCCAACAATGGCACTCTTTGCCCCGATTGTCGTGAGCTAGGACAGCAGCGCGTCTCTCCGTGAAGCCCTGAGCTGTTGAACTGTGTGGGGCAGGGGCACGGAGGGCGCCCGCCTGCCGCCTCCACTCGAATCAAACGATCCAGTGTACGTCGAATGGTGAGTGACGGCGGGAGCAGCAGCAGGATAGTCTGAAGTGAGGACCACGAAGCTCTTACGGGCGTGCACGACACTTTCCTATTGTTCCCTGCACCGCGTCCGTTTCCCACGTGGGGGGAGGGTTTAAATCCAGATTGCGTGGAGATCCCGCGTGCTAACGTTACCCACGCAGTCACTGTCACTCCGTAAAAAGGGGCGTAACGACGTGCGTCACGTCCCCTTTTAAAAGGACCAGCTCACAACGAGAGCAACCTGTTCAGACGCCGTGTTCAGCAGCCGCGCCGGCCGACAGACGCGTCAGACACGGATCACTTGCACAGCAACAACGAGCGAGGCCTCGGCTGCCTGCAGGAGCACGTCGCCCGCGAGCGGAGGTCAGGAACGCTGCCACCGCCGAGTCGGCGGCCACGGCTCGGTCGAGGTCAGCGGCCTCGGCCGTGCAGGGTCCGGCCGTCGGCGGCCACGGCCCGGCTGTCGAGTTCAGCGGCGTCCGGCCGTGCAGGGTCCGGCCGTCGGCGGCCACGGCCCGGCTGTCGAGGTCAGCGACGTCCGGCCGTGCAGGGTCCGGCCGTCGGCGGCCACGGCACGGCTGTCGAGGTCGGCGGCGTCCGGCCGTGCAGGGTCCGGCCGTCGGCGGCCGCGGCTCGGCTGTCGAGGTCAGCGGCCTCGGCCGTGCAGGGTCCGGCGGCAGGGTCGTTCCCGCCGGACTCTGGGTAGTGCGTGGTGGAGCGACAGTAACGACGGCACCAGTGGCTGGCTGATGCTGAGTCGCCGGGCCTCCGGTCCGCGTGGTCTGTACGGGTCCGGCCGAGGAGGAGTTCACCTCGGCACTTGGGCCCGGCGCCGACCATCAGCAAGGTGCACCCGAATTTCTGTGCCGGGGGACAGCGCACAGCAGATCTGGCACGCAGGATGGGAGCACCACCAATGCCAGTCACTTGTGCCATGGAGCTGCAGCTGCAGACTGGGGTGGTGGCCATACAGGTGCTGCCACCTGGTGACACTGCCAGTCACTCACACTGAGACTGCTTCCCCCCTTCTGAATAATCTGGCTGGCTGGCTCAATGACCCTGACTGGCTGAATAGATAGATATAAATGCAGGAGCTTCCACAAAATGAATTGCCTGGCTTCCAAGTCAATGTGCATGCAATGGCCACCAGATATAAAAGACAAAGCAGATGAGCATGATGTATCACATTGTAATATATGTTTATCTACTTGAAAAATTTGAGGTTAAGATTATCCTAAAAGCTGTGTTGCATGTGACCTCTGACAACCCCACTCAGCCAGTAGCAAGTTCCACACCATGGATGCTGCACAGAATGTGAACACAGAATGTGGATCAGAGGCACATAAACTCCTGCAGACATGCCAAAGAGCGGCTGCAGTTGGTTGACAATCTGAGTGGCAGAGCCAGGTATTACACTCTGGTGTATCACATGCTTCACCCATGGCTTTGAAGATCTCATCTCGCATCTCTGGTGGGTAGATGGCTGCAAGGTGTGAGGGTCTCACAGATGATTATATAATACACAATACTGTGTTCATGTATTTCACTGGCTCTGCTTTAATGCCTTTACCTTTAGAGCTTTTCAATACCACCATATTGGAAACCAGTGCTGAATGAACATCAGTAGCAGCCTGTGCCATCTTGCACCGCATGGATTTCCACATCAAGATGCGATGGCTGTCGTCATGAAACCTCAGGCAGCTTGGCATGTTTGGTAGTTAGTGTCAATAAAACACTTAAAATGAATGAGCAGGCATCTGCCTTCTTAAGTAATCACATCTCTCAAAGTGCAACAAGTCATACCCATTCACCTCATGATGATGATGATGATTTCGGGGTTTTTGGGCACATTGACTGCAGTGGGTTATGCTGCACCCTTCATTGTGTCCGCAATGTTGTTGTCGGCTCTGTTGGTTAATGCCTAACCCACATGATTGCACTCATTGCCACAGTTCTCAGTGAGTAGCAGCAAGAAACAGCTGCTATTTATGTTGAATGTAAGATGATATAGTAGTTTCGATGGGTATTGGTGCTTCAGCTGTTGGCGCGTGCCGGTATTAACCATGGGTGTAAATGATCGTCTTTCCAGAAGTTCCAGTACAAAACATGAGGTCAAACCCACATCACACCAAATTTTCAATGAATAACTTTATCAAAACAAAGCTGAACCATCTCCAATAACTAAAGGGCAAAACTTACCGCGAGAAAGCCTGGAAGACGAGCCTAACGCGACTACGCAGCTATCCTGCCGCCCAAAGATACGCTTGTGCCCCACAACCGACACCACGAAAGTATCTGATACCCCGCACGCTTGGAAAGTCAGCTCATGAAGTCTTCCGCACTGGCACGGAACGATAACTGGCCCAAGGCCAACTGGCCTAAACTGACTCCACGGCACGACAGTCCCCCCACGCGTTACCCACAACACCAGACCTGTCTACACATCAATCGCTGTGATTACAAGCGTCGGGCAGGCCGACGCCGCGCCAAATACGCGAGAACGCAATGTTGCAATTAGGAACAGGGCTAGTAAATATGGCGTGTTCAACCACGACGAGGATGCGATGGCCCATTTTCTGTTTCTTTTTCTAGAAAAGAGAAATTTGGTATATCATCTGCACTGCAGGAACAAAATACGTATTTCTACTATAGATACAACTTTAGTTGTTGCACGAGACGAAACTGTTAAGTGTTTTGCCGCCTCCGTAGTCCTGGAGAAACATGACATGCTCATAATCCAGCGGCACGGAGCACCAGTCCCACATACGCGCATTGTTTGGTCAGGCTGAAACGGAAAGGTCCGCTGGCAGCTGGACAGCCAGAGTAAGCCCGGATATGGGACGGATAAACGCGGACCCGGGGCGGACGTGACTCCACAGTCCTGCCTGGCAAAAGGGAAGAGTCAAAATTGTTCGTCGACCTGGACAGATCGACTCGGGACAATTCGGTTCAGGGTATAGAAAACAACCCATGCTTAGCAGGAACTCCGAACCTTAAGCCATCCGTGCAAACCAAAAAGAAAATTAAAATAAATTGATAAGAGATGAAATAAAAAAAACTTTGAGACCCTGCAACAAACTCAGCAAACTCAGCGGCCTGTATGTGGACGTGCAATATGATCACTTTTGGCGCACAATAATCTGCAGTAATATCGTTGCTATTTTCGCCCGCAAAATCATGATCATGTTTCGGACCTACATCAGAGGCTTGGATGACTCTCCGCTACAGATCTGTCCAGGCATCACACTATATCACTCACCATCAAGGGTTTTTATTCAGGTTAGCATAACTCACTTGCTCGGGGGTCTGCACCCCCCCCCCCCCCCCTCCCCTAGCTTGAGTTCCCTCAGTGTTTCTCTCCCCTCCCCGAATCCATGTGAGCCAAAAAGGGACTGCTGTGCAGATGAAGTGCAGAAAGTGTCTGACTCTAACTAGGGTTTGTACACCAGATACTATACATCCCAATCAATATCATCAGCAAATATCGTCATTGCCAACGCCATACCGATGCAAGAAGGAAAGCGTGCCTCAACATCAAAACAGCTTTCAAAATGATCAATTCTTTTTTCAAGTTGAATTTTTGAAAATAGGGACACAGATCAAAATGGCTGATGTCCGGGGAATATTAGTATTCGAGGCAGGTTAGGTCACCTGTATTGGCTTAGCATTTCTAACCAATAATAGAAAGAAACACGCCTGCATGTGTTCTATTTTTGCAAGCTTCTGCAACAGGAGCAGATTGCATGCATGGCAATGCGTTACGTTGCTGCGGAGGACCGACCAGTTACCAACTGATGGTCAAAATCGGTTCAATGATTTTTGGTCCATCAATATCGGTTCAGCAGAAGTTGCGACGCATGTGTGACGTTCCGAACCACAACACGCGCCAAGATCGGCACTCGAGCCCTCCAGGCGTCCATTCCTCTCCCCGGAATCTCATGTCGGCTTGTGGACACGGACGTAACTTAACGTTAGATGATACTGGGGCTCATTTCCATTATGACGCTTTTTGCTGTGGTCTCAAACAACAAAAATTGTCAGGTCTGTCCAGAAGTTATTGGGCTTCTCAATCCACCGTTCTCAGTGGGGGCCACGCCCATGCTTGTGAGTCTCTTCCACACAAAGTTCCGCTTGTTCAGAGCATGGCCCTGGTAACGGAAGATTAGTAGGTGTCATGATAGCTCCACTTCCGAGAATGCTGAAAATCAACTGCGTGATGACGCGCTGAAAGAGTAGACCTAAAACCGGTTTGGGCATACTCGGTTTCAGAGACGTTGGTTCTGCTTCACCCTGGAAGCGGAAGGAACGTCTGCTTTTGAGAGGAAGGTCTGATTTGGAAGCACTTCGGCAGGTGCGAGTTACGAGCGGCCACTGTGGCCAAATGCCGGCGTTCATCGGTCCTCGGTGGTCCTCGCAGCTCCGGACAAGGCCAGGGACCAAGCAGCCCCGGTCATGTCCAGGGGTCTTGGAAGAGGCGGTGTGATGTGTCTGCAGCAGGTACCCGACCGTCCTATGGAGGGTCAGGGCAGGTGGGGGTCGTCTGTGCCATGGAGGGTCAGGGCAGGTGGGGGTCGTCTGTGCCATGGAGGGTCAGGGCAGGTGGGGGTCGGCTGTGCCATGGAGGGTCAGGGCAGGTGGGGGTCGGCTGTGCCATGGAGGGTCAGGGCAGGTGGGGGTCGGCTGTTCCATGGAGGGTCAGGGCAGGTGGGGGTCGGCTGTTCCATGGAGGGTCAGGGCAGGTGGGGGTCGGCTGTTCCATGGAGGGTCAGGGCAGGTGGGGGTCGGCTGTGCCATGGAGGGTCAGGGCAGGTGGGGGTCGGCTGTGCCATGGAGGGTCAGGGCAGGTGGGGGTCGGCTGTGCCATGGAGGGTCAGGGCAGGTGGGGGTCGGCTGTGCCATGGAGGGTCAGGGCAGGTGGGGGTCGGCTGTGCCATGGAGGGTTGTAAATGATGTTGGCGTTGCCGGGTGCCAAGATTATAAATGCATATTTCGTATTGCAAGCGCATACCGGCGCCACCCATGCGTACCCCAAAAACCAAACGATATCGAAAAGTTACCAAATATATTGTAGACAACAGACCCTTGACAACGACAAACACGGTAGTCCGGTCCCCCGCTACGGCAAAGATACGCACACATACGCATACAGTATATACCTCAGTGACTGGACGTCAATCTCTTCACGGCCGACGTTAAACTGCGCAGCGCTCCGCCGATCTCTCGATCTGAGCTGGACTGACCAATGAGCTCTCGCTCTGGGCTGGACTGACCAATGAGCTCTCGTTGAGCCCTTGGCCGGTCGTCCGCGGAGGAGTGGCTGCTGGCTGGGGCGTCAAACCACTCCACCGCCACCGAGGAGGCAGGGACACAATGGACCAGAGTCCTTCGCGGAGGCCAAGCGGGAAAGGCCGCGGTTTAACGCGGCGATCATCACAACAACTGGCACAACATATATGGCGTTAGCTACGGCAGTTAGAGGCTGAAGCTCACAGGACTTACATGTAATACACACGAACAACCGCGCAGCAGAGGGCTGCGCTGTTTTCGTCGGCCACCAATGGAGCCAGACAGCAGACCGGACCAATCGGACCAATGGGATTGGATAGAGCCGCGGGATGCGCGTAACGAGTCGACCCGGATCACGCCTCGGACCAGCGGCAACCTTGCCGCGCCACTCGGACACACGTCGGCAAGGCGGTGTCCTCTGTAACGCTCCGCGGCAGCGGGGCGACAGCGTATGTCGCGGCGCTCCAGCTACAGGGTAGCCAGCAGGGTCTGCACGGTCATGTAGATGGTGATGCCCAAGCCGACCATGAAGGCCAGCCCGCGGGACGGCTGAGGCACCTAAAAGGAGGCGGGGGGGGGGGGGGAGGTCAGACTGCTGTGGTGATGAACGCGTAGGATTTCCAGTGCGACGCATCGTTTGATTTAAATTGCGCAGAATCCGGTTCTTATTGACAATGCATAGCAAAAAAGTGATAAAACTAAAACTTTGCTATCACTTAAGCTGCTAGATCACAACGTTGGCAGTGGTGAATGAGAGCCACCATGTTCAGGGCGCCAACGCTCTGGTTGCTTTGATTTCAAGGCTGAGCAGCCCCCGAGCTGAACGCAGTGCACGACAAACGACGGTTAACGAGACCCCTGACGATGGCTTGTTACATGGCGACGACGTGCCGCCAGCGACAGCGCACCAATAGCCCGCCATTGACAGCTACCAGTGGACAGGCCACCACGAAACACCACCAATAACACTCCATCGAGTACTCACCAATAACACTCTACCGAGTACTCAGCAATAGCACTTCACCGATGGCTCACCAATGACGCTCCACCTATGACCCGTCAATGGCGTCCCACTGATGACCCATCAGTGAACTCCACCGATGACTCACCAATGACTTCACACCGGCGCGTTATTTATCATACCGTGCACTTTAATAGCCAACCAGCACCACCACCACCGATACCCCACTGACGGAAGCTCATCGACACCCCAACAGGGGGGGGGGGGGGGGGGGGCTGTCGCCTCTCCCTCTGCTGCTGCTGGGAGCTGGAAATCCCCAACTGAATCGGAAACTACACCCCAGCATCCAACCAAGGACATTCAAACTCGGACGCCCGTTAGCGACAACAACGTACACCCCATCAACGAACACCCCACCAGTGAACACTCCACCAACGAACACCCCACCAGTGAACACCCTACTAACGAACACCCCATCAACGAACATCCCACCAACGAACACCCCACCAACGAACACCCCACCAACGAATACCCCACCAATGAACACCCCACTAACGAACACCCCACTAACAAACACCCCACCAACGAAAACCCCACCAACGAATACCCCACCAGCGAACACCCCACAAACGAACACCCCACCAACGAACACCCCACCAACGAACACGCCACCAACGAACACCCCACCAACCAACACCCCACCAACGAATACCCCACCAGCGAACACCCCACTAACGAACACCCCTCCAACCAACACCCCACCAACCAACACCCCACCAACCAACACCCCACCAGTGAACACTCCACCAACGAACACCCCACCAGAGAACACCCCACTAACGAACACCCCACCAGTGAACACTCCACCAACGAAGACCCCACCAACGAATACCCCACCAGTGAACACTCCACCAACGAACACCCCACTAACGAACACCCCATCAACGAACACCCCACCGACGAACACCTCACCAACGAACACCCCACCAACGAAAACCACACCAACGAACACCCCACCAACGAACACCCCACCAACGAACACCCCACCAACGAACACCCCACTAACGAACACCCCACCAGTGAACACTCAACCGCCAACAGCGCACAAAGAATAAGGCACCAACGATATTTCATCAGTGATAACCCACCAACATCTCACTAACACCCAGATAACACTACAACTAACATCCCAACTAACACCCCACTAACACCGCACCTGCACCGTACCAGCACCTAACCAACACACCACTAGCATCTCACCAGCACCTCACCCAAGGCCCGTGCAAGTCTCTTCCCGGTAACTGCTCCTCCGGTCCTCTGCCCGTACCACATTCAGGTAGACGAAGGTGTGGATGATCCTGGTAGCGGCGAAGCCTCTCATCAGCATGGTGGCCATCCAGGCGTTGGGTCCGGTGGCCAGGTAGAGCGGGCAGATGATGAGGAACGGCAGGATGTTCTCCAGGTCGTTGAGGTGGGCGCGACGTACGCGTTCCACGTCCGGATCGTCCAGCTTCACCTTGCCCTGCAGGCCCTTGGCGTCCTCCGGATTGGCGAATATCTGGCGGGCAAGTCACGTGCGTGGCGTGACGTGGTGGTGGTGGTGACAATAAGTGGTGGTGACAACGGCGATGTAGATGAGCAGTCAATCCAGTGCGGCACGTCGGCGGTGGTCGATGGTGTCCTGTTACACTCTTCCACACCACTGGCATTGCTACGTTACTGCACAAGCGCCGCTGAGGTCTAGGAAGCAAGCAATGCACACCGGCACGCAAGCACGTACCCTTCGCGTCACCACGGAGGGGCCGCCCGGCTCGAGACAAAGGCAGGTGGCCTGCGATCTGACGTCGCCGGGGATGACGCGATGTCGAATCGCACGCACATAAACGCGCACACACACACACACACACACACGCACACAACACACACACACACACACACACACACACACACACACACACACACACACCACACACACACACACACCACACACACACACACACACACACACACACACACACACACACACACACACACACACACACACACACACACACACACACACACACACACACACACACACACACACACACACGCGCGCGCGCGCACACGCACACACACACACACACATATATATATATATATATATATATATATATATATATATGTGTGTGTGTGTGTGTAGATCAGGCTGTGGGGTGTAGCTTCCGATGGACGAGGCGCGACATGTCCGCCACTTCCAGCACGTAAGCACTTGACGCAATACTGCGATACTATTGGCCTCTCGCATTGATGTCCATCTCCAGACTTCCTACGACACAACATGGCACGTGATGTCACTTGTGCGCCGTGTGGTGGGGTCACTTGCAAAGGCTTTTGGAAAAGGGGCACTTCACATATCTGAAGACTGGCGAAGGAGGTAAGACTGACCACCTCGGCGCTATTTACCGTGAGCCCTGGGACAAGATTATCTCCCTCTCAAGTTTCGGTGGACCGATGCCTGAATCTGCAGGTTCGGACATTTTCGCAGACATAATCGCGTGCCACGTATAAATATCGTCGTATCGTCTAGATACCATAATAATGGAGGTGACTGGCTCACCCCTACACAGCGAGCGGTGACGGTGCGAAGCGAACGCAACAGGCCTGCGCGGTGGGCATTACGACGTCCGGTTTAAGCGCACGGGTAAAACTTGGCTGGCAGAAGCACGGCGTTGTATAGCACACACCTTGTGCGGCAACAATGGCGGTTTGACGACGCTGAATTTAAAAGTCACGATCGCCTGGTCAACACGGATACATATTTCAGCTCGCCCACTAACCTAAGGCGCGGGTTCATACGGCACAAAACGGAAGAAATCACATACCATGCGACAAGCTGTTCCAGCTATCACACATAACAGCTGAATACCACTCACTGCAATATTACCACGGACGGCGAACTCGGGACGGGGCAGAGCTGGCATATCTACACCGCTACCACGGGCGGCGAACTCGGGACGGGGGCAGAGTTGGCATATCTACACCGCTACCATGGGCGGCGAACTCGGGACGGGGCAGACCTGGCATGTCTACACCGCTACCACGGGCGGCGAACTCGGGACGGGGCACACCTGGCATATCTACACCGCTACCACGGGCGGCGAACTCGGGACGGGGCAGAGCTGGCATATCTACACCGCTACCACGGACGGCGAACTCGGGACGGGGCAGAGCTGGCATATCTACACCGCTACCACGGACGGCGAACTCGGGACGGGGCAAAGCTGGCATATCTACACCGCTACCACGGACGGCGAACTCGGGACGGGGCAGACCTGGCATATTTACACCGCTACCACGGACGGCAAACTCGGGACGCGGCAGACCTGACATATCTACACCGCTACCACGGGCGGGGAACTCGGGACGGGGCAGAGCTGGCATGTCTACACTGCTACCACGGACGGCGAACTCGGGACGGGGCAGACCTGGCATATCTACACCGCTACCACGGGCGGCGAACTCGGGACGGGGCAGAGCTGGCATGTCTGCACTGCTACCACGGACGGCGAACTCGGGACGGGGCAGACCTGGCATGTCTACACTGCTACCACGGACGGCGAACTCGGGACGGGGCAGACCTGGCATGTCTGCACTGCTACCACGGACGGCAAACTCGGGACGCGGCAGACCTGACATATCTACACCGCTACCACGGGCGGCGAACTCGGGACGGGGCAGAGCTGGCATGTCTGCACAGCTACCACGGACGGCGAACTCGGGACGGGGCAGACCTGGCATATTTACACCGCTACCACGGACGGCGAACTCGGGACGGGGCAGACCTGGCATGTCTACACTGCTACCACGGACGGCGAACTCGGGACGGGGCAGACCTGGCATGTCTGCACTGCTACCACGGACGGCGAACTCGGGACGGGACAGACCTGGCATATTTACACCGCTACCACGGACGGCGAACTCGGGACGGGGCAGACCTGGCATGTCTACACTGCTACCACGGACGGCGAACTCGGGACGGGGCAGACCTGGCATATTTACACCGCTACCACGGACGGCGAACTCGGGACGGGGCAGAGCTGGCATATCTACACCGCTACCACGGGCGGCGAACTCGGGACGGGGCAGAGCTGGCATGTCTACACCGCTACCACGGACGGCGAACTCGGGACGGGGCAGAGCTGGCATGTCTACACTGCTACCACGGACGGCGAACTCGGGACGGGGCAGACCTGGCATGTCTGCACTGCTACCACGGACGGCAAACTCGGGACGCGGCAGACCTGACATATCTACACCGCTACCACGGGCGGCGAACTCGGGACGGGGCAGAGCTGGCATGTCTACACCGCTACCACGGGCGGCGAACTCGGGACGGGGCAGAGCTGGCATGTCTACACTGCTACCACGGACGGCGAACTCGGGACGGGGCAGAGCTGGCATGTCTACACTGCTACCACGGACGGCGAACTCGGGACGGGGCAGACCTGACATATTTACACCGCTACCACGGACGGCGAACTCGGGACGGGGCAGACCTGGCATATCTACACCGCTACCACGGACGGCGAACTCGGGACGGGGCGGACCTGGCATATCTACACCGCTACCACGGACGGCGAACTCGGGACGGGGCGGACCTGGCATATCTACACCGCTACCACGGACGGCGAACTCGGGACGCGGCAGACCTGGCATATTTACACCGCTACCACGGACGGCGAACTCGGGACGGGGCAGACCTGGCATATTTACACCGCTACCACGGACGGCGAACTCGGGACGGGGCAGACCTGGCATATTTACACCGCTACCACGGACGGCAAACTCGGGACGGGGCAGACCTGGCATGTCTACACCGCTTACCACGGACGGCGAACTCGGGACGGGGCAGACCTGGCATATTTACACCGCTACCACGGACGGGGAACTCGGGACGGGGCAGACCTGGCATGTCTACACCGCTACCACGGACGGCAAACTCGGGACGGGGCAGACCTGGCATGTCTACACCGCTACCACGGACGGCGAACTCGGGACGGGGCAGACCTGGCATGTCTACACTGCTACCACGGACGGCGAACTCGGGACGGGGCAGACCTGACATGCCAGCTCCGAACAATCCTGACCTGGAAAGCCTGGCAGCGGACCCGCGACGTCACATAGACAGAAACGACGTCGAGCCTGACTTTGCTCCCAGCTCACCATCTGGAGCAAGATCCTCTTCGCCACGGCCACTGACTGCTACTGACCTTCTTGCCAATGCGGTGGCGGGCGGTGGCGAGCGACATCAGCACCGTCTTCAGCACCAGGATGGCGGCGTAGAAGAGAAAGGTGACGAACAGGGGGTTCGCCATCGTCAGGTCATTCATTCCGCTCATGATGACGGCAGTCCTGCCGGCAGACGGGAGCGGGTGACGCGTGAGAGCATGATCACCTGCGGCTTGCCATGGGTCAGGTCGGCCGTTCTGCTGACAGCGACAGCAAACGTGGGAAAACACGGACCGGGGGACATGCGCGCACGTGGCGAACAGTGTCCTCCCCCTCCCCCTCCTCCTAGCATTCTGCGGGCACTCTCAGCTTAAAGGGAACTCCAGCGGAGCCGGGCACCCTCTGAGCCCCAGCGTCCCGTTTACAAACCGTCTGCATGCCTTCAGCCCTCCTGCGGGTGCCTACTGACTTATTCGCACAGTGGCCGGTAATGTCATCTGTTGGCGCTCAAGGCGTGCTGATCCATGAGATGTGGGTCTTTATATAGCCATTGTCAGTGATCATTTTGCGAAAGTGCTTCGAAGCGTTTGTATCACTTGCTCGTGATTTTGGGAAACGTCTTCTGTCCTCGCCCGGTCCAAACCATCTTTTGTCACACCACTCGTTTTATTATCATTACAGCGCGGTCGACACTCGCACCACCGTCTACCTACCACATCCCTGACTCCAGTGCAGACTCCACGCACGGTCCCCCGGATTCTAACGTGGCCCAGGTGTGAGCTCGCTGTCCCTCTCGCTTTTCTTCCGTCCGTCTGCCGCCGCGAGCTCGACGCCATAAGGCCGGCCTACTGCACGCCAGTGCTAGGGAGAACCACAACTGCACTCGGCTCCGTGATTCGCCTCGGCATCATTTTGATGTGTAAAAATGAGGCAGGCTAGGCCATCCCAGCAGGCGGTTAGCTGCCGCATTTGCAACGGACTGGTCTTAAAGCCGCACGGCCAGTATTTACATGGCGTTTTAGTTCGCATCGGCAGTTGACTGAAAGCATCACATGAGCGTGTTTGCAACATCCACTTGTCCTCAATTCTGGTCTTAACCCGAGTCTCCGGCAGTGAGGCAGATTTTCAGGTATCCACCTGTATCCGCGGCCCCGGCCATGTCGCCGTGTTTTTCCGACAGCGGATAGAAAGAGTTCGCCACAGCCTGCAGCTGGCTAACCGAAACCGGAGGAAATACACGCCGTCAAACCCAATTAGAAGCTGAATCAACACCTGTTAACTTGCTCAGTTAAGCCACTGAGCGACAAACGACGCCACCCCTAGTCTATCACGCACCGCCCTGGACCCTGAACTGGACTACCGCGCCGGAAACGCCGCACCGCCGACACACCAGCGCCATCTGCGACCCGCCTCGGTGGCGTCCACGCTGCATTCAGCACGAGTTGTCCACCGAGAACTGATAGATGCACGTGTGCTGGTAGAGCTCTCCCGGGTTCACGATCGTGCTGGGAAACTCGGGGTGGTTGACCGCATCGGGATACTTCTGAGTCTCCAGGCAGAAGGCGCCCTGGCGCCCGTAGGTGGCGCCCTCTTTTCCCGGCGCGCCGTCGGCCGGCAAGAAGTTCCCCGTGTAGAACTGCACGCCCGGCTGGTCGGTCAGCACTTCCATGGCGACGCCCGAGTCGGGACTGACGACGCGGGCCGCTGTGCCCCCCCGCCATCTCCCGGCCGTTCCAGGCAGTAGTTGTTGTCGAAGCCGCCCCCAGGTGGCAGCGCGGCCAGCGCCTCGCTGAGCGGGCGCGATACGCGGAAGTCGTAACCGCTGCCGTTGACCGAGCACTGGCGACCGGTCACCAGACAGTTCTCGTCCACCTCGAGGTACGTGGCGGCGTTGATGGTGACCTGGTGACGCAGGAGCTCGTCGCGACCAGCGCCGTGGCCGGCCAGGTTCCAGTAGGTGTGGTTGGTGAGGTTGACCGGCGTCGGCCGGTCGCTCATCGCCCGATAGCGGATCGTCAGCTGGTTATCATCCGTCAGTTGATACGTCACGTGCGTCGTCAGCTGTCCTGGATAACCCTCTTCACCGTGGCGACTGACGTAGGTGAAGGTGACGCTGTCGCCCTCCACGTGCGAGCCCCACAGCTGCTTGTCGAAGCCGACCTGACCGCCGTGCAGGTGTACCGGCGGCCGGTTGACCTTGACGTTGACCTCCTGGCCATTGAGGACGAACTTTCCCCCGGCGATGCGGTTGGCCACCCTGCCGACCGTGCAGCCGAAATAGCACGTGTTGCTGACGTACTTTTCGTACGAGTCCTCTCCGAGCACCACGTCCACCAGCCGACCGTGCTTGTCCTTGACCTTGAGTGAGGTCAGCCGGGCGCCGTAGTTGATGACCTGTGCCTCGGTGCCCGCTGGGTTGGTGAGAGTGAAGCGGCGCACGGGCACGGCCGGCTGACCGGCCGGCCGGTGCACACCGAAGTTGTCCTCGGCCACCGTCCGCATGGTGGCCACCTGGGGGAGAAGTCACCGGTCAATGTCCGGGTCTGGGTCAGAGGTCACCGTTCAATGTCTGGGTCTGGGTCAGAGGTCACCAGTCGACGTCAAAGGTCACCGGTCAATGCCAGGGACTGGGTCAGAGGTCACTGGCCGTTGTCTAGATCTGGGTCATAGGTCACAGATCAATTTTCAGGCCTGGATCAGAGGTCACCGGTCAATGCCCGGGTCCAGGTCAGAGGTCACCGGTCGACGTCAAGGGTCACCGGTCAATGTCCAGATCTGGGTCAGGGATCACCGGTCGATGTCGGGGTCTGGGTGCGGCGGACGTCATCCGTAGGGGACCAGGTCTGGGTCATGGTCCCGAGTCATGGTCCTGGATCCAAAGCTTTGGTCGGTGTCCCCGGTTAGTATTCGAGGTCAAGAACCCTGGGCCGGAGTTTCCGGAGTTCTGGGCCAGGGTCACGGGTTTGGTCGGAGCAGATGACCAGGTCTGGGTCGCTGATGGTGACGCCGTGGTCAGGTGCACCGATCGCGGGACAATGTGTGACGTAGCAAAGACTGGGTGGCGAAATAATGCGATTCTGGACCAATGTGGCCAGCTACCGCCAGCGGGACAGTGTCCTTCCTGACACCTGCACCGTCCTCGAGGGCGTGGCTTCAGTGCTGTTGTTGTTGTCGTTCATGTTCGGTTGTGACCGAGAAGCAATACATGACGTGATGAGTGGATCGGCGCAAAGGCGGAACGCTTAATTCTGACCGCCTCTCCCAACAATAACAAAAAGGTCGCCACCGGCCATGGAGGACCAGACCCACCGCCCACTCGCCCGACCCTACAAGCTGAGGCGGACCGGGCGTTCCGCCGCCGCTCCGGTTCCACATATCGCCGTCTCTGGCCGGCGGCGGACGCCCCACCCACTCAGCCACCCGGGCGCGGCCGCCGTCTCTGGCCGGCGGCGGACGCCCCGCCACTCAGCCGGGCGCGGCCGCCGTCTCTGGCCGGCGGCGGACGACCCGCCACTCAGCCACCCGTCTGCGGCCCGCGCCCGCTGGAAGCTCTCAGGCAAATCGCTTTGGTTTGAAGGCGAGATGCTTGGAAAGTGTTTTCTAGTCTTCGGGCGGGGGATTAAGGGAATGGCGGCAAACTACGCAGGTGCTCAAAGGCTGCACGACGCGTTCCGCCCGAATGTCGTGATTGAAAGCCGAGAGAAAACATGAAACGAATGCAATACGGATGCGTGGGTGTTTGCGGGACAGCTGTGCAACCGACGAGTTGAAGCCTTTTCACCTGCCTGCTGCGGCGGGCAGGTTTATAGGGAGCTGGGTGACGTCAGGTGGCACTGGGTGACACTAGAAGGTTGACGTCAGGTGGCACTGGGTGACGTCAGAAGGTGACGTCAGGTGACACTGGTGGGCCCAGAGGGTAACGTTAGTGGCCTGGGTGACGCCAGAGGATGATGTCAGGTCACACTGGGTGGACGTAGAGGTGACGTCAGGTGACACTGGTGACGCCAGAGAATTGCGAGCGCATCCTCCGCTCCAGTCGTCATCGCGCCCATCGTCCAGAAACTTTTTCCGGGAGGTGACTGGCAAACCAAAGCCAGCTGCCGCAGTTCATCCGCGGATTTTTTTATCTCTCCGGAACAAAGCCAAAGCAAGTGGTCACGCCTCTGAACGCTTCGATTTTTAATGACGCACACCCTTGAAGAGCTGCTGGCTTCTCGGTTCCCATCCAGAACCTGATTTGGGGAAAATCGTGTCTCGTGCGCCTGTTATCATGCTCATGGCTCTCTCTCTATAGCCATACTCCACGTCCACGGCTCCTCTCGCTCCCAATTTTCCTCGAGTGTCCAGTTGCATATGCTCTCGATTATCCAAAATGATTGTTATGTTTTTCACACATGAGGTGGAAAATCATATCGCACAATTTGCAAGGCATTTCGGAACAACCATTCCATTAGCCCGCCCGTCTGTGCCCGACGATTAATGAGTTAATCCACCCGCCGTGGACATACCACGAAAATACACTCCTTTCACTCCACCCACTTCATTCCAATTCCAAACAGGAGATCAGTCATTCAAGGTCAAAACATGCGCCCGAGACGTGAGGGGGTGTGGGGGAGGGGGGAGGGGCCTTGGTAAAACATTCGAGCCGCCTGGACCGGCTCGGTAGCAGTCCGCCGCTTGGCAACGCCATGCGGCCCGGCACTCGCTCGTCGGCGGCCTCCGTCTACGCCAATATCACCGTGCGACCGCTTATTTAGCTCTCAGCGCTGGCCCGTGGATCGTTTGATCAGCGCGGCTCTGTCCTTTTCCGATGGTGGAGGCACATGGTGCGGCCTTTGCCTTCCCGGACCATGACCTGAGCAACGCCCCTGCCCTCCCCAGACGATGACCTGAGCACGCCCCGCCCTCTCCAGACGGCAGCCTGGGTACGTCCCTGCCTCCCCGCATGGAACCTGAGCACGTCCTGCCCTCTCCAGACGATAGGGTGGATACGCCTCTGCTCTCCCCGCATGACGACCTGAGCACGCCTGCCCTCCCCCAGACGGGTGGGCCTGGGTACGCCCCTGCTGGCGCAGCCGATCGGACCGGCCGGTCGCGTCTGTCGCAAGTCACGTCCGGCCCTCAGCAG